TGGGAACTAATCGACCTAGGAGGGCAAGGAGCAAAAAGTGTCCTTTGTGTCCCTCTGACCCAATTAGTATAGATCTCAAGGTATGTCTGTTAAACATCCAAGAAGGTTAGTTCCACCATTCTGGCATTTTTAATTACTGTGTGTCATGCAGATAAATCTTGGGTAATGATATATATGACAGTTTTGCCTGCGTGTATGTATAAGTACACCTAGGTTTGTGCAGTGTCCACAGAGGCCAGAAGAGAGCATCAGATCCCCTAGAACTTGAGTTATAGATGGTTGTTAGCTGTCATGTGGGTGCTGGGAAACAAACCCAGGTCTTCTGCAAGAACAGCCAGTGCTCTTAACTGTTGAGCCATTGCTCCAGCCCCATAGTACTCTTTATTAAGGATCTGCTGCACGTTCCTCCTACAGTTCAAAAAATGCTAGTCCACACTCACAGGCATCATAGTGTTGTTTGTAATTACATGATACTGTGAAAACCTAAATGTCCCAACATGGTCAGGGGTGGCATTTACTCCTATGCATCCAAACAGTGAAGGGCTTTGCAAATGTAAAAGCAATTGATGAAGTTCTCTATGAACTTAGAAGGACATAAACTCTGACTGAAGTGAAAACAGCAACCAAAAAACAAATTCCGAAAGAGTCTGTGTAGCATGTTGTCCCTCCCATGACGAAGGGGAGGCAGTAAGAAAGCACATGAATGAACCACAGTGACAAAGGGATAAGTTGGAAGTTGATGCACTGGGGGCCCACGGAGCACAGGAAGGGTACAGACAAGCAGGAACAGGGATAGGAAAAAGTGAGGAGCAGGAGGCTGAGGTCCCTGAGACATGTTTCTGTAGAACCCGAACTTTGGGGACTTTGTAAAATTCTGCATACCAAGAAATAGCAATTAATAAAAGCAAACAGAATGTGAGAGAATCCCAATGTGGGACAGAGATACCAACAACCAGTAGCATTCCAAGTGAGTAACAACTTCCCCGAAGGAGGTCGGGGGAAGAAATGACCTAAATGATCCAGATAACATGATTTGAACAGGAAAGCGTAAGGCTCAGGGCAAAAGAAGAGATTCAGAGATAAGAGGTTCTGCCATCCCATCAGCATGTGCTTACTTCTCACGCTGGCTTGTGTGGGCAGTGGTGATGGCTTTATTCCTGTAGGCTCATTAGCACATGCATATTTCTTCTGGGGGCTTGCACTGACAGGAGTGGACGTGTGGGTGTGCAGCAGGAGGGAAAATCATGCAGACTCTGAATTTTACGTTCTAGGCCAGGATTCCTATTCATCAGACAGAGGATTTCATTTAGTAGCTAGAAAAATCTATTGGATTGAAAAATCTGGTCTTGGTATGAACTCATCATGTTAACTTATGCATGTGCAAATGAATACAGAAACATACACGACAGTATGTATGTGGGGCTGGAGAGCTGGCTCAGTGGTTAAGAGCACTGACTGCTCATGCAGAGGACCTGAGTTTGTGTCCCAGCACTCACATGGCAGCTAAAACTGTCCTAACTCCAGTTACAGGAGATCCAACACCCTCTTCTGACCTGCACTGGCACTGAACGACAGTACACTCAAACACATAAAATAAAAATAATAAATAATTATTTAAAAAGAGTTGTATGCATGTGTGGGTGAAACAGGCAGTCTGGGATCACTGAAGCCTCAGAAACAATGAGCTCACACAGAGGTCAGCCCATAACTTTGAGTACTGTCCCCAGAGAGAAGCAAAAAAATCTCTGGAGCAATGGCTGAGGTCACGGCTAGAGAGGAAGAGGTAAAGATAAGTGTGGCATTGATTTCCAAGAGGAAGTCTCTAGACATGTTCATGTACTATGTATTGAACATGACTTAATGTGTGGAAATCATATGTTGAGAGGGTAACAGCACTATTTCTATATTTTGAAAAAAATGAGCCTGAATCAAATTATGATAAAATATCAGGGAAGTCCAAGTTGAAGCACATGCTACAAAAAGCAGGGAGCATTCTTCAAAGGCACCAGCATCATAAAGACAAGGAGAGCTGCCTTAGTGGAGGTGACCACAGGGAGTGGGTGTCCAGATGAAGCTTCACACTTGGAAGAATATTTGGGACTTCAACTGTTCCTTTCCAGTTTGAGGCCTGAACTGAGGTCTTTGTGCATGCTAGATACATGGTTTGCCACAGAGCTGCACTCTTAATCCTGTGAAACTTTTATACCTTCCAAGTTATTTTCTAAAACATCCTTAAAGAACACATTTTCACTCAAAATAACCCCCAGGATTTGATTCAAATAGCATTTTAAATTGTTAAACTGACATAAGTACATCAAGGACCATTGGTCTGTCCTTTCTACTCCTGTATAGGTCTGCACATTTCCAATACAGAAGGAAATGTTTATTGAGCCCCTTCTATGTGCTATACAGAGTGGCCAACCAAGGGAAGCTGCAGCTCTGCCCTCCAGAGCACCCAGCTCCTGGCTTTTCACTGTGTCTGGAGAGGGACAGGATGGAGGAAGCAGAGCATCCCCAGGCAGATGGAGAGGGCCAGGGCTACAGAGAAAGGCTAAAGTGCAAACAAGCAAGAGAAGGGTCTGCACATGACCACAGGGACATCACACATGGCAGGAGGAGGCTAAGGGCTTCACATCCAGAACTGGGACAATGCAGCCAGTTCCCTCAGGTAACAGCTTACTCAGAGGAACTCATTATTTAGCCATTTTTACAAATGCATTTGAAATCTCCCCATTCCCTCTACAATCCTGTTATCACTCTCTGAGGACACTCTCCTGACCCCACTGAGTTCTGTTTTTAGCTCCATAAACCCTGCAGCCTGTTTACTTCATGAACTCTTTCAAGATCAGTGTTCAAACAAAACTGATCCTGTGCTTGAGACCCTGTGCTAGTTTGCACACTATTTCCCTGGATGGGCAGCACCCACTTGTCTTTTTGTCATTTGAAAAGTAAAGTAAGCGTTAATGAGAGAAATTCTGTAGTTGAAGACAATTAGCAGTATACCAAGAAAAAAGAGGCCAGACCTGTTGATGGTAAGGTATGCAGACTTAGACAAGTGTCATGCAGCTCTGAAGTTGACTACATCATCTGGTAATGCTCCATAAACCAAGAGCTAGGAATGAATGATTATAACTGAAATTATAAACGAACACATAACTCCCTCTGTCCTCTCTCCCTCCCATCCTTGCTCCCCCTCTCCCTCCCTTCTTCCATTCCTTCCGTTTTTTTCCCCCCAGAGTTTCAGTAGAGTTGCTTACATGAGCACAGGTGACTATTTATAGGAACATGGGAACCTTCTTAATGACTAAAGGAACTGTATAAATCTCTGGGCAAGGGTGGAGACCAAGGGCTGCTCCCAGATTTGAAATCTTTTTAGTCCACCATGAACCTTTGATACCTTGAAATCTATGGGAGTGGCTGTTCTCTATCGGTGCCACACCCTTGGGCATGAGCTGTCACCTTATTAAAGTGGCTTCCACACCATCTGGAGCTGGAGTGGGGCAGCTGCGTAGAGAAGAAGCCTGGACATTACTAGGTTAGTACTCTCCATTTTAACCTGCATGCAGTGTTCTCGGGTCTGCTTCTCTTGTAAAAGAGTTTTGAGTGTTTTCACTAGCCAGTATTAGCCATATAAAACAATTATGTAATCTTCCTGTGTGTATATAGTACATTTTGATCATATTCACCACCCATCACCATTGATTTCACTTGAATTTGGTTCTTGTTCAGACGACTTGCTTTGTGACTGAACATCAGGCAGTGAGCGATTTCTCTTCTTTCACTCCCTCTCTCTGTCCTCCTCCCTCCTTCCCCCATTCCCTCCTTCTAACCCTCTCTTCCTTCTTCCCTCTCCTTCTCTTCCTTTCCTGCATCCCCAGCTCCTGTTCTTTTGCTCCTGTCCTTCTCATTGTCTTTCCATCCTTCCTCTTCCTCCTCCTTCAGCAGTGCTGATCAAAGGCTGGTGGGATGTGACGTCTCACATTTGCTATGGAATCTAAACGCATGGGGTTTGGGACGGTGAGGCAAGTGGACCTGGATTTGCCTCTTAGGAAAACTTAAGATCAACTATGCTCTTCTCTCGAATTGCCATGTTCAGATCCAACACAGAATTTTCAGAGTTCTTTCATTTGAGAAGATGAATATTCTCAAGGCTGCCCTGCCAAAGCACTTACCCAGCTTTTTTTTTTTTTTTTTATCATGCTTTGAGAATTCTATTTAAACAGCAGAACAGCAGATTTCATAATTAGGATTTGCTAGTTTATTACTAGCTTATTACTTAATTGCCCAGTGCTACCTTATTTTTAAATGATTAACCCAGTAAAGCAAATGCTAAAAAAAGGGAAAATATGGGTCTTGAGCTAACAAGCCCTGTGATCTCTATGGACTGTGGAGTGGAGGGAACATTGCATAACATACTAGGTGAAAGGCTATCTTCTGTTTCCTTACTGCTCACAGGTGGGGCGGGGTAAGTGGCAGGCAAGAAAACATTAAACTTTTTAAACTCTAAGAATTCTGTAACAAGATATAGCTGAAGAAACTAGTCTGAATATGAGAACTAGGTTAAATTAAAATGTCACTAAGCAGGTGGATGGTCCTCTAGGGTTCAAAGCACTGGCCACAAACCTGGGGAAGGCTAGCTGACTTCTTAGATCCCTTGTAGCTCTAAAACTTAGAAGTTTAAAGGAAGAGCTAAATTCATCAGCATATAAGCAGTTTTACATTTATTTATTTATTTTTATTTTATACGTATGAATGCTATGCCCGCATGTAAGTGCACCTGTGTCCTGCAGTGCCCATAGAAGATAGAAGAGGCTGTTGGATCCCCTGGAACTAGAGTTACAGATGGTTCTTAGCTGCCATGTGGGTGTTGGGATTCGAACCTGGGTCTGTTGCAAGAACAGCCAGTGCTCTTAACTGCTGAGCCATCTCTCCAGACCATATGTAGTTTTAATAAGGCACATAATAACCAAGTAGAATGCAACATAATAAGACTCGCTGATGCCATGGAATAACTGCTAAATAAAGGTCTTCTATGAAAAGCCTCAGAATCTCACAGCGCAGCCTGTGAAGTCTCACTGATTTTAAAGCTCTACAGGCCAAGCTGTAATTCATGGGAGAAAACAGACAGAAAGACAGCCATAAAAGAACAGGCACTTTATACTATGCTGCAAGCAGGTCTTTGATTCCCAGGAGGAGCAACCATAACCCAAGATGAGAGGGGTAAGAAAGCTGCGCAGGCGGGGGATGGGATGGGATGCTGACTCAGCAGGCCTGAGCCCACGGGGCAGAAAGGGCAGGCGCTTACTCATCTTTCTCAGCTGGGAGTCTTCTCCCCGGGCTCCGACTTGGTTGGCTAAGGGAATGATGATGCTTGTATGGAATTCTCAGGAACCGTACAGTGCAGAGCAGTCTGTCCTGTCAGCCATCCCTAACCAAGTCTGGAGTCTAGACGGGACTTCAGCCCAGGTAGCCCAAGCTCCAAACAGCTGCTATCCTGTTCCCTTGCAGCCATTGTCCTCACTTGGCCGTGGAAACTGCTCAGTGGAGGTGACTTAGGACGCTTCCACCACGCTCTTTAAAACAGATAACTCATTTGTTTATAAATCAGAAAGAGGGCATAAGAGAAAGAATACAGATTGCCTAGCGCATTTAAAATATTTTGACATAAAATTCAAGTTTCACACTAATCTTTCACATATACAGTGTCAAGAGAAATACTCTTACACTAAAACAAAGAACAACCAGAAATCTTACAAAAACTTTAAGCATTTCTACCTTGAGATAAAAATGACACTATTGAGAAATAATTGAGGGGGCTGGAGAGAAATGGATCAGCAGTTAAGAATACTGACTGTTCTTGCAAAAGACCCAGATGTGAATCCCAGCACCCACATGATGGCTAACAACCATCTGTAACTCCAGTTTCAGGGGATTCGATGTGTTCTTTTGACCTCCATGGGCATTGCATGACACGGGTGCACATGCACACATGGAGGCATAACACTCATACACATAAAATAAAAATAAAATAAATTTTAAAAAAGAAAGAACTGAGGATCCCTGGTGGAGTTTTTGTTCTTGCCCACTCATCGTTGTGCATCTCTGGATTTTTAGGACATGGTTCCTAAGCAGTTTAGATTCTCTTTGCTTGAAAAAAAAAATAATGTCATAAACAAAACATTTTATGTCACAACACTTAAAATAAAATACAGGGACTGACCAGATGGCTCAATGATTCAGGGCACTTGCTGCACTGCTTGTGACCTGAGTTCAACACCTGGAATCCACGGAATAGGTGCCAGGTGTACCCTCTGCATAACAGAACCAATTTCTTTTTTCAAAAAGGAAGGGATATAGCTTCCAGGCAGTCCGCTAGAACTTGTAGAGCCAGCCCCAATTGATAGGCAAAAGCAAAAGCCTATTACTATGAAGATATATTCCATGATGTGGTGAAAGGAGAAAACCGACTCCAGCATGTTGCCTTCTGAGCTCCACATATGGGCAGTGGAAGGTACATGCACACACACAAATACACATACGGGCAGTGGAAGGTACATGCCCACACACAAACACACATGGGCAGTGGAAGGTACATGCCCGCACACAAACACACATACAAATAAGTGCTAAAACTTTTGAAATATAAAACTATGACTGAAATTGTCCCTCTCTAAGTCTGGGCAATTGATCCCCTGGCTTTTCAGTGAGTCAGGTGGGTTTTGCACCCACACCCCTGCCACAACCTGTCTGACTCCACTGCTGACTTACCTGCTGATTGGGTGAGACCCTCTTCTATATGCTGCTGTCAGACGTAGCCTGGAATAGAGTGGTGGTTCTGGAAAAGTGAGACGACTTTGTTCCCCAGAGAACACTTGGCAAAGTCTAGAGATATCTGGGGTTGTCATGTTGGAGGGTGGGGGCAACACAACATTACACTCTGGAGGCTGCTTAGGAAATAAACCATGTTGCCCAGGACAGCTTCACAGAACCAAAGAACAGTATGAAAGAGCCTTAGAACATAGCAGCAAAGACCTGCCAGGTTTGTAGGCTAGTCCGCGTCTCACATCTGACGCCACTTCAGGGTACACAGTCACATGTCATATGCACAAAAATGGAACTAATTTAAAGTCACAAAAAACACATAGATTTTCCACATAAGACACTCTCTGAGGGGGCTTTGAAGACTCCTCAGTAGTTAAGAATGTATGCTGTACTTACAGAGTTTAGCTCCCAATACCTACATCAGACAGCTTACAACCATCTGTTATTCTATCTTTAGGGGGTCTGGTACCCTCTTCTCCCCTTATGGGCCCTGCACTCAATGTGCACACCCCCCCCAGTGGGGTGTTGATTTCACAGCCCACTTATTAGTAGTGATGCAGAATTTGCAGGAGACTGTTGTAGGAATTAAGGTGCACTGGGTGTTACAGTTTCCTCACTGTGTAACCTCTCTGGATATCAATCTCTTCACCTGTAAACTGAGAACAATAAGATTTCTGCAATAATTAATCTCTGTGATGATTAAGTGAAGATTCAAAAAAGAAACTTTCCTTTATGTGGTACACACTAAATGCAACTATTTTCCTTATAATATAAAGTTAAGATATTAACAACTCTTTTTCTAGATCATAAAACACTATATAAGCCAGCAGTGGAAAAACAGAATTCCAACAAAATTAAGTGCCTTCTCCTGTGCGGAGATTCAGGTTTTGGCCACAGCCAGGGCCATTGAGAGCTTCTGAACAGAGCAGCCAGGAGCCAAAGCACTGGGAAATGAATGACTTACTTGGCTCTGTCTCCCTCTCCCTGTCTGTGATGTCTCTGGTTTTCAAGGCTCACCGGGCTCCCAGGTCCTTCATCACTGCAGGACCCAGGCTGCTCTGTTTGTGTCTCCAAACTGTAGATGAACAGCATAAGGAGACTGGCTTGATGATCTCTGATACATGAGAATTTAGGTCAAGAATATCTTCCTGAGCCTCTTGCAAGCCTCTGTGAAGAAGGCAGACTGCTTTCTGTGGTGCTGTGCTATTAACCATAATCACAAGGCAAAATGTTACCCTGACAGTCAATTCATGAATTATTTTACTCACATTTAGTGAGACAGAGGGACAGCTGCAATGGCCGGGAAGCCCGTGCTTCACTACTTCAATGGTCGAGGCAGAATGGAGTGCATACGGTGGCTCTTGGCTGCAGCAGGAGTGGAGGTAGGTAATGCATTGGATCTTCTTCAGCTGGACCTAAAAGTCCCTTTTAAAAACGTTTCATGTGGCTAGAGAGTAGGGCACTGGCAGAGGACCTGGTTCAATTCCCAGCACCGACATGGAGCTAGGAACTGTCTATAACTCCAGTTCCAGGGGCCCAGCACCTTCTGACCTCTGTAGGCATTGCACAACACAGATGCACTTGCATACATGCAAGCAAGACATGTAAAGTAAAAGAAAAATATATTTTAAAATATGTAAAAATGTTTCTAAGCCAGGAGACTTCATTCTAGGTAAACTAGAAACAGATTCACTTAAACAATAATCTCCAGTTATTAAGAAACAGATGGGCAGATTTGAACAAATGAAAATTTCAAAACTCAAGTGGCACATTTCCAACTGAAAGATGTTTTTAAGAGAAAACATAATTAAATAGTCAATTGTTTCTTAATTGAAACGAGTACTGATTGAATATTATGTAATGTATTAAATGATTATCGTAAATTTCCATTATGATGTGTCTGATTTTAGGTGAGACTTTGCTATTTTGAAATAGTGCTTACATTTTAGATGTTCATGGTGAAGTATCTGTGACACAAACATGGGATACATTAGGTATTTTCACTTGACGGCCAGAGTTGAAAAAAAATGCACAAAGAGACGAAGCAAGACTAACTCAGTTGACAGGTACTGGAGCTGGGAACTGATACACAGAGAGTCCTTGTATTTTGTCTGCATGTTTATAGTATGCTAGAAATTTACATGATGAAAATGTACATATATCATAAAAATCAGCTAAATTTAAAATATAAATAAAAAACTGGGAGGCATGAGACCACGGTTAGTGACAAGCAGCCTGTCAAAGCAGCAGATTTATTTCACAAGTTCTTCGTGGAGATTATTAAGTGCCAGTTTGGCGCTGGTCCGGAGGATACACCTGGTGAATGAGACAGACCTTTCGCCAGGTGGCCTGCGCATGTATAAGCTTTCAGGAAGTATGAGTGGCCTCAGTGAGGAGGGAAGCAGGCATTCTGCAGAGCTGAAAGTTATTCTTTCTGGCTTTTGAACAGGAAATGCTGGTAGCTTTCTGTGCTGCCCTCTAGTGGCCTCACTGGGAAAAACACATCTTTCCTCACGACAGGGATTTCCAGGAGAGGAAGCCATGAACACTGCCTGGAGAGCTGTCCCTCAGTTAGAAGCAGAAATGGGGAGCTAAAGGGAGGTCACCTCCTGGGAAGGCACTTTTGATGTAGTCCCTCAGAGTCCTGACGGCATGTTCACCTCAGCCTTGGATTTCCACTTTCTCCATTCCCAGTGAATGGGCTTCAGACTGAGCCTTTCCCAAATGAAGACGTGCATAAGAACGGAAAACTCTGTAGTGCCGGTCCAGGGCTTTTCTTTACTAAACGAACAACTGGATTCCAATGTCCACATGCAGCTTTGTGGCTCCGGGCAGGCTCTACATCATGAACCTGATGAGGTTAGCACAGGAGGGAAAGTAGGGGTGAGACCATCTGCTTCGAAGCCTTCCTCTTCTTTCCCACAGGGACTGAGAAGGCAGTGGGTGGGGCTGTTAGAGGCCTTGGCTCAAAGCTTCTGGGCTCTCTTGCTCAAAGGCTGGTCATTGGCATCAGCCTCATCACCAACATCGCTCCCGCCAACCCCACCAGGATTCATCCACACTCTTGTGATGACAACCAACATGCCTATGCTTTGGATGCTGTGTAATTGTTGGTACTTACACTATCTGATTGGCTTAATGGTATGCACTCAACAACAAACTGTTTAACTAAGCAAGAAGGACACTATTTCTAACATTTCATGGTTTAAAAAATCTCTTTAAACTCTAAAAGGAAAGGAGTGACTTAAATTACACTAGAGAACTGGGGAGATGGCTCAGTGCCTTAAGGTAAAGCCAGATGACCTGAGATCGCCTCCCCAAAATCCATGTTAAAACCTGAAGTGGTTTGTCTTCTGACCGCCACACATGTTGTGTATGTGAACTCTCACACACAAATATGAACATACATGTACACAAAAATGAATGAATAAATATTTAAAAATAAAATACAGCAAAGGTCATGTGGTATAAGAAACTTAGATGGGGGCTTGACTCATGGCTCAGCAGTTACAGCACATTGTGCTCTTGCAGATGACCAGAGTCATTCCCGGCACCTACGTATGCAGTTTAGGGTATGTGCTGATCTTGCAGAAGTCCTGAGTTTGGTTCCCAGCATCCACATAAGATGGCTGAAGACCACCTCTAACTCCAGTTCCTGAGGGACCACAGCCTCTGGCCTCCACTGCCTTTGACCTCCATGGCGACTGCATTCACATGCAAAAACGCACACAAATACACACATATACACATAACTAAAAATAAAAAGTCTTTAAAAAAAGACAATTGGATGAACTATATAACAGGCTTTCCTGAGATCCTAAGACCTCCGAAGTCAAAGGCGTGGTGCTTTCCCTCCTTTACTTCACTTGCATGTTATGATCTAACCATGGACAATGGTGGAGTCAGGCAGAGTCATACACAAGAACAGGCTGCTGTGCATTGTGACCAACACCCTTTTATTGACAGATGTCATCTATGTTTCCAAGTGACCATGGTCCGACTCCTTTGAATCCACTTCCACACTAAGAAGGGTTAATCTCTGCACATTAACTAGCAAACAGCGACAAGTTCAAAGGACTACTATGATACGGAATGAACTAATGAGAATGAACTGATTTTTTCTGTTTCCAGTTTGAAGAGAAGTTTGTAGAAACTCCAGAAGACATGGAAAAGTTAATAAAAGGTAATAATCAGTATCTGAATGTCCCCAATGAGATTCCTAGAAGGCTTTAATACAAGATGATGGCTACATGTTGGTTGGCTGGTTGTTGGGAACGGTCAAGAAGTGCAGTGATAGGATGTAAGTGGTGCAGCTCCCTGAGCATTCTGACGACCCAGACAGTGTAAAATGAGCTAGAATTCCCTGAGTATCCACCCAGTGCCTTGTGAAAGTTTTCTCATGGTTTATGCACCAGAGTGAGCTGTCTCACTCAGACTGTGACTCACTCACTCACTCACTCACTCACTCACTCACTCACTCAGGCTGTGTCTCATTCCCTCACTCACTTGGGGATTCTCACTCACACTGTCCTCTGTCCATGCGAACACATGACCATGCATTAAATCATTGTGAAAGAGACAGCTGGGACAATTTTCTTGAGCATTTTCATGTATGGCTTATGATGAGTTACTGTCTCATCATCAAAACATGATGGAAGAACACACACTAGGCCCTGTCTCACAGGAACACACATAGAAACCTGTCTCATAACCCACCTTAATGATAAGTGCACATAAGAACATGGAAACGTCCTACTTACCTACGTTTGCCTAGCAGCCCTGGTAAATCCCACTTACCCTTCCTAATACACCCAAGGAGATGAATTAGCATAGAAACATACATAAGAGACATGATATGAATCTGGAAAGAAAATAAAAGATGGATGAAATAAGCTACAAAGCCAAAAGACCATAAATATGACAAAGAAACAGAAAGCTAAAAATAAAATGCTGTTTCATGTGAAAGTCTGCCAGGAAATAATATTTCTCATTTTTTTGTATATTTAGTCGTTTCAATAAAATTCTCTACTCCTGAGAAGTGGGACTTGGCTATTTCACAGGCTTTTTATTCTTTCCTTCTAAAGATGGGAGCTTGATGTACCAGCAAGTCCCCATGGTGGAGATTGACGGCATGAAGCTGGTGCAGACCAGAGCCATTCTCAACTACATTGCTACCAAATACAACCTCTATGGGAAGGACATGAAGGAGAGAGCCCTGTATGCTGTATTTTCTGTTATTATTCCAACACATACACAGCAAGTACTTGGGTCCATTGTTGAATGCATGAGAGTATGGTAGGGGTTTATGGCCAGAAGTCAGCTGGTCCTGGGAATAAACACTTAGGCCAAGTATGGCAGAGTCTTATGGAGAGAGGGAAGAGAACACTTGGGGTGGATGCAAGTGACAGTGGATACAGCAGAGGATGATTTTCCAGCACAGCACAAGGACAGAGTTCCAAATACACGTTTGACTGTCTGGATGATTTTGTCTCTCAGGATTGACATGTATGCAGAAGGTATTTTCGATCTGAGTGAAATGGTGATGAGTCTGGTGTTATGTCCTCCAGACCAAAGAGAGGCAAATATTGCCTTGGTCAAAAACAAGATAAAAAACCGTTACTTGCCTGCCTTTGAAAAGGTAAGTGGGCTCTTTAGGGTTCGGGGCACTAAGTTCAGAGGACAAGAGAAAATAGGCGCTGGGCATTCCTACAGCATTCACCTTTGCTCCCTGAGCCTTCCTGTGCAGCCCTTGCCCCTCAAGGCGGTGTGTAAAATGGTCTGTGAAGAAGCACTGTGTAGTCATGGTGACCTAGCGTTCAGTATTCAACCAGGTCATCACCAGAACTTGATCTGTAGAGGGCAGTGAGCCACTCCAGTGATTGATCTAGATCCTGCAGGACACGATGGACTTCAATTTCAGAGCAAATTGCAGAGAACACCACATGAGGGAATAGTCTGGTGCCCTGCATAGGGAGGCCTGAGGGCAGCTGCCCATCAGGAGGGTCCTGTAGTGCTTCAAGGCCAGATGAGGACAGTGGGGGTGGGAGAGAGAGGCTGATGAAGAGATGGTAAGAAAAACTGACTTGCAGGAAAGAGGTGATGGCTGTGAGGCTTGAGAGGAGAGCCATGTTCACTGAGGAAATCCTGATGTATCACCATGTGTGCTGTGCCTAGGTTAGGTTTTCTCCTTGAAGATACATCAAGAATGCTTCAGAACTACTTGAACTATCAAGTAAAAGATATTCACTAAAGATAGGGTTCTAGATAACATAGCACTCTCACAAATTCATGCGCCAATGCCAACTAACTTCAAACACTCATTTTATAAAGGACTGCCTTATTTCTTCATTCACTCACCCAAAGTTAGTCCTCGCTGCCTCTGCTGTGTGGAAACTGAAGACTGTAAAACACTGTCAGTTCCTCACACAGCCCTTCTGAAGCCTGTGTTGCTGACAATCTGGGGCCTGTCACATGATGCAATAGTTACTTTTCTGTTGCTACGATAAAACACTATGATGAAGGGAGCTTATAGAAGGAACAGTTTACTTAAACTTACAGTTCCATAGCAATTAGATTCCATCATGGGGGAGGGGGCATGGTGGAAGGAGGTGCTGAAGCAGGAGCAGAAAGCACAGCGCTCACATCTTCAAGCAGGCACAAGAAGTAGAGAGTGAATAGAAATTCTGCACGGCTTAAGAACTCTCAAAGCCCAGCCCTGGTGATGGGCTTCCTCCAGCATGGCCACACCTCCTAAAGCCTCCCAAAACAGCACCACCAATAGGGGACAAAATGTCCAAATAGTTGGAGCCTATGGGGGACATTCTCATTCAAACCACCACACATGATGTCACGGCATCCAGCCATAACAGCTTAAATCATCTGTGTTATGAAACCTAAGAACTTCACACACACACAGAAACTGTGTATTTAAAAGCATTCAATGATCACTTTTGTTTTTGTTTCTGGAAATTACAACACTTTTCTCTACATATGCAGTGCATTAGGTTAACCAACAAGCCAGTTAATAGTGTCTTGCCTTTAGCCAATGATTTAATATGTGCTTTTCCTTTTTGTTATCTATGATGCTCATATTTCTAGAATATTTATAAATGCCGCATTTCCATAAGATGCTATTATTCAAACTTGTCTCAACCAGGAAAATTGAAACAAATGTTCAGTAAACACATAGTCAGCAACCAGATAGCAAAATTAACAAGTTATGCTCTGGCTTTTACCATGTGTCTCCATTTATCCGAATATGTGTCCTTCAGTCCAACCTTCACCTTTTATCAATATAAAGTTAGCTGCAGACACCAATGCAGTTCACCCACCCTAGGCACTTCAGCATGCAGACTGTGACCCAGTGAGAGTTGGGAGTCAGAGCCAACATTGTGCGGAGATGCTCTGTTCCAGTTTGTCCACATCACTTCAGATCAGAGAAATAAGCAGGAGGCAAAGAGAGCAGAGAAGAGGAGAAACACAGACCTGAAATGTGCTCTTCTGGGGCTTAGGTTGCTGCCCTGCATGGGGGCCAGGGTCCATGGGAGCTGGGGCAGAGACACAGCAGGGAGAGGAACATCCTGAAATGTCAGGGCTCCACCCTTTTAATGTGAGGGGAGAAGCATGAGGTGGCAGGAGCTAAGCCCCAAACATCTGTGGAAGATGTAGGGAAGGTGGATGGTGTGAAGGCCAAAGGGACGTGGGAAGGGGAATGAAAAGTCCCCTGGGCTTTAAAAGAGGAGGTGGTAGCCCCCACTCTTCATGCCCATCATGAATCTCAGGCCTAGATTGATGTCTAGAACTCCATCCCTGTCAAGCAGAGGAAGAGAGTTGTCTTGACAGACTTGGGAAACACTAGTGGCTCCAGGTTGACTGTGAGTGTGTTCGCAATCTGATTCCTCAAATTCTGCAGGTGTTAAAGAGCCATGGACAAGACTACTTTGTTGGCAACAGATTAACTAGGGTTGACATTCACCTGCTGGAACTTCTCTTGTACATTGAAGAGTTGGATGCCAGCCTTCTGGCAAGCTTCCCTCTTCTGAAGGTGAGTTTACCTTACAGGCAGCTCCACATCTGCCTCCATGAATCTAATAGTGGGACCCCTATCCTGACGAGTTCCTGACCTCCAGCCTTTTGGTCTCCAAGCTGAGGTAATAGACCCTGTATCGGAGCCATGAAAATAATCGCTTTATATAAGGAGATTTGGAGGATGCTACCCCAAGAATATTCTGCCTTTTGTAATGAGAGTGGCCCAGAGCTCAGCAGATCTCTCTCTGGAGCTCTGTTCCGTGTAGGTGATTCTGGCCTCCCTGGGGTTTCTTTCTTCTCACATATCCTCTCTTTGCATTCTCTCTACGTGGGTCTTTGTCAAGCTGATTTCTTGCCTCAGTTCTGACACCTGCTCTCAGCAGTGAGCTTCCCTCTCCGCAGTACCCCGGTAAAGCCCAGAGTGTGCTTTCCCCATCTGATGACCTCCATCCTCATCTCCCAATGTGAAAAGTAGTAATTTGCCTCTGGTTAGACTTTGATGTAATCTGTTTACATTTTCCAATATCTTCATCTTTCCTTTGGATATTTCTCTCTTTTTATTCCTGAAAAAGCACAATGCTGTGAGTTAGCCCTGAAAGAATGGTTCTACAGGGTTTATGTCTAAAAGCACAGGAAGATGGTAATCTAGGTTTTCTGGTTCATGTTTTTGTCACACCTCCTGCTTCCACACTGGAGCTGTTGGAAGGACTCAGTTGGTCTTTGTCTAGGACAGGCTCAGAGTTCTGGGGCTCTGCTCACAACTAGTGTGGACTCTGAGGCTGTGGTTTCTGAATTACAGGCCCTGAAAACCAGAATTAGTAACCTTCCCAATGTGAAGAAGTTCCTGCAGCCTGGCAGCCAGAGGAAGCCTCCTCCTGATGTGGAAAAAATCGCAGAAGCAAGAAAGCTTTTCAACTTTTCATAAAGCTGCATTAAACCAGCCCATGTATATCAAACTCTGATGTTTGTAGTAATGAAGTGCTTGGTTTGATTGTGTACCTGGCTACTGTGAGATAATAAACATGAACAAATGGTGTTTGTACCAAGAGTGTTTGAAGTGTGAGTTGGAATTCCTGACACCACATATAAATAGGAAGGCAAACAATAATAAAATCAAATGGAAGCAAATCTTACAAAGGAGTAAGGTTAAAAATGAAGTAAAAGTCTGGCATGGAGGCACATGCCCTTAATCCCAGCAGAGGAAGGCAGATCTCTGTGAGGCCTGCTCTGTCTACATAGGGAGTTCCAGGCCCAGCTGGGGCTACAGGGAGACCCTGCCTCAAAAACAAACAAACAAATAAATAAATACAAAGAACAGGAGATCCTAGCAGACAGCCTGAGAGGGTGGGTTTGGGACCTCCATCAGGGTAGTGGCAAAAGAGTATGGAAAATTAAAAAAAACACAGGGATGGAATATGCAGGGGATGTGGGACACCATGAAAAGACCAAATCTACAGATCATAGGAATAGAGGAAGGAGAAGAATTTCAGGTTAATGGTTGTAAGAGTGAGACCACGGAGGACAAGTCACAGCCTTTGGGTTGCAACAGCAAGAGGTTTATTTAGGACACAGGTACCTGTGGGCACAG